GGTTTCCAAGAGAGGCATTGAGGACGCCACGACTTTAAATAACAGCTTCCAGGACCGGAGTGACAGGACAGCCCACTGGGTAGGACACTAGCCCTGCGCACGGTCAGTCTGAGTTCACACGGCCAACTTGACTTCGATCCCTAATACCCCCCATAGAGTCCCCCGAGCCCTGAGTACAGGGCAAGGAGTAAGCTCTGAGCACTGCCGGGTGTGAACTGAAAAATAAATAAATTAACTAAATAACAATTCCAGGGGCCAGAGAGATAGCACAGGGGTAAGGCACTTGCCTGGCACGCGGTCAACCCGGGTTAGAGCCCTGGCAGGCACCACACAGGTGTAGTCCCTGAGCACCACCAGGAGTGGTCCCAGAGCACAGAGCCAGGAGTAAGCCCTGAGCACTGCCAGGTGCGGATTTCCAAATAAAACGATATAAATATAAGATAAGGACTCCAATGCCATCGCAAATTATGACACCTCAGTAAAAACCAATAAAGGAGGGCCTGTCCGTGGGGCTGGCGGCCTGTCAACTGCTCTCTCCTCGTTGTGCCGGGTGTTTGTGCCACGTCCTTTGAGGCCCGGGAGCTGAGCTTCCCTTGTGCACGCCGGCGTCCTCAAGGCCCTGTGGTGTGACTGGTTCCACCTCGCTTCCTCCTTCCCCTCAGTGAAGTCGCCTCTCCTCGTGGTTCCTGTTCGGTCACGGTCAGTGGCGACCCCCAGGTCTGTGTCCTCTGGCCTGTGGCCGTGGAGTTCCCCCAGATCCCCGTCACGTGGATCCCCAGCGCTCCAGAAGGGACACGCGTGAGTCGGGGATCAGAATATCGAGGCGTGCAGCCCTCGCTGGAAGGAGACCCAGGGTAGCGCAGGGCCTGGAGGGAGGCGTCTTAATCCTGATGGAAGAATCAAGACGCAGGCAAGAAATTGAATCCGAAGACTTGAAGGGCTGATATCACTAGACAGCAGCGTCCAAATAGCAGGGGAGAAGAAAGGAGAGAGAAAGATAGCAACAACAAAAGCAGATAGGAAGTTGCAAGAGGAAATACTCACAACTTATTTCACCAAGGGCCACCTATGCTCATACGTAAAGAGAGCACTGGAGGAGGAGCAGGAAGATGGGTCAAAGGGTGGGAGCTCATGCCTTGCATGTGTGGGCCCTCACTTTGTCCCCCAGCACCCCCGAAGGGCCCTCAGCACTGGCAGGGGACGTCTTGAGGCCCCTCCTGAGGGCCACTGGGCTGGACAGTTCCCTGTTGTCAGTGCCTGGCATTGCCCCCGAGGTTGGCCTAATTTGCTCCGAGTGGGCTTCAAGCCCCCTGAGGGTTGGGAGTAAGCTGCCTCCCCAACAAAAATCAAGGAGAGAAGGCAAAACGATTTTTAATAACTGCATAATAGAAAGTACAGGAGGTTGGGTGGTCCCCATGCATGGCGAGAACCCTATTTCGTCCCCGGCACCACGCATGGCCCCCGGAGCGCCAGCAGGAGGCACTCCTGAGCACAGAGCCAGGACCGCACCTGAGCACCCCTGGGTGTGGGCCCCCAACTCACAGAAATGAACAGGTCACCAACAGGTCACGGGCCGGGGGCAAGGGAATGGGAAGAAAGGGACAGAAAACAGGCGCGGGCTTGGAAACGTGGAAAAATGGGAGGAAAAGCTACTAATCATGACTCGGGACAGCATTCCTCACTCTGGGATGGGTCACTTGATCACTTGATCACTTCCCGTAACGCCAGTAACGTCTCCATTTGTCCCTGTCGCGTGCTAGTGTAGCCCAATGGCATCTGTTCGTTCCGGGAACATGAAGAGCCTCAAACCGATCGTTCATGATCTTGACGAAGAAGTCTGACCATCTGGTAGGTGGGCGGCCACGCGGCCTTTTGACATCCCGTGGAATCCAGTCGGTAACAGCTCTAGTCCAGCGGTCGTCTTTAAATCTCATTACGTGACCAGCCCATCTGATTTTTGATACCTTGACAAACGAGACAGCGTCCCTGATTCTTGATCGTCGATGGATGTCGGAACTCCAGATTCTTTCTCTCGTTTGAGTGAAACGTGATATTCCAAGCAGAGCTCTTTTGATTCCTCTTTGGGAGACCCGAATAGCGTTCTCGTCCTGTTTGCATAGGGCCTAGGTCTCTGAGGCATATGTTAAAGCAGGAAGAACAGTGGAATCAAAGAGATTGATGGGTCATCAATGGGATGGGTCATTCAAGAAAAGCTCTCGATGGCTGGAAGGTTTATAGGGGGCAAGGCACACGCAGGGGATCCTGGTTCCATCCCGGGCACAGCAGAGGTCTCCTGGGCACCGCTGGGTGTGACCCCCACCCCTAAGCTAAATATGTCGGAGTATGAAAGATATGAAGAATAAGGCAAAGCCAGGGGAGGGGAACATGAATGCCCCCCCCCTCCAGGCCAGACCCCGAGGGCAACTGACATAACTTACAAAAAGACATGAGCCAGAAATCTCGACAGAGGGTCTGGGAATTTGGGTGAGCGGTCACAGAAGACCATTCAGATCGGGTGCTGCCCACTGAAGGGGCTGTGGGCGCCCAGGTTCAGCTCCCTGGCAGCTGGTCCAAAGCCCAGAGCTGCAGGTGAAGCTGAAGGAAACCAACCTGTCATGTGACAACAGCCCCTGTCCCAGATGCTCTGCGTCCAAGCTGAAGTGCTCTGGGACGTGCATATCCCATGGAGAGTCACATGTCACATGACATTGGTGACAACGGGTCTTGGAGTGACCAATGATGACAGATAAGCCACAAGGGCATTAGTCGCCTGTTAAAACATACAGTTGGGCTGTGGCGGAGAAGTGAGGGTCGCCTGTTTCCCCCTCTCCAAGCGAGAGGGCCAGAGTGCAGTCAGGGAAGCAAGACAGGGAGTGGGTGAATCCCTTGTGGTCAGCAGCGGCCAGACAGGATGCGGTCTGCTCAGGAACTCACCCTGAGCAGGGTGAGTTAAAAAGATAAAAGCAAGATGACAGGGCTCTCGCCTTGCACACAGGGGACCCGGGTTTAATCCCCCCAGCCCCCAGCCCAAAATCTATGACCAGACTCATGAGGCCAAAAACGACCCTGTGTGTGAGTGTGTGTGTGTGTGTGTGTGTGTGTGTATGAGTGTATGTGGGTGTGTTTGGCCACACTTGGCAGAGATGGGGTTCACTCCTGGCTCTGTGCTCTGGGGCCCGCTCAGGGTGGTGTCTGGGGGACCATGTTGGGGTGCCAGGGATCCAACCCCGTCAGCCTTATGCAAGGCAAACACCTTGAACCCCTGTTATCTTTCTGGCCCCAAGACAGCCCTCAAGATAAAGATTTATGCCCCAGTTTTGGCTTTACTCGCACCCAGCTGTGATCCCGGGGCAAAGGCCCCTCTCACAGGGCACACAGACCCGGGGCGGAAACCCGGCTGTTCATTAACCCCTCCATCACCTGGCACAGCAGCTGTGAGCCCGCGCAGATGCCAGGGGCTCCCCTGTGCCAGGCCCTCCTCTCGGGCGAGGCTGGAGGAAGCACTAAAGAGTTGGCGGTTCCCGGCCCTGGACGGGCCCGTCGGAAACACTCGGGCTAGCATTGTCCTTCCCGGGTCCCTCCTGCAGGCGGGCGCAGGACGCGGCCCCACCCGCGCGGGGCCCGGCGGCCAAGGTGCGCCCGCGCCCCTGGGAACCTGCTGTCCCCGGCCCCTCGCAGGCCGGGCGGTGGCCAGGGCGGGACCGCTGCCCGGGCTCGGCCCGCCTCCCCTCCCCTCCCGTCCCGTCCCCTCCCGTCCCCTCCCCTCCCCGCGGGTATTTAGGGCAACGGGCGGCGCACCCGCTCCAGCTGCTGCTCCGCTAGCTGCGACTCGGTGGACTTCTCGGTACGGGCTCGAGCGCAGGGAGGGAGGCAGCGCCCCAGGGAGGCGGCCGCTGGGGTGCTCGGAGCTGGTGGGGTGCCCGGGAGTGCGTGCACGAGGGCGGGGGGCGGTGGTCCCGGAGTGCGTGCACGAAGGCGGGGGGCCTGGAGCGCGTGCCTGAGAGGGGTGTCCCGGAGCGCGTGCCCGAGGGCACCAGGGATGCCCCGGAGCGCGTGCACGAGGGAGGCAGGGGTGTCCCGGAGCGCGTGCCCGAGGGCGCCAGGGATGCCCCGGAACGGGTGCACGAGAGCGGGGGTGGTGTCCCGGAGCGCGTGCCCGAGGGCGCCAGGGATGCCCCGGAACGGGTGCACGAGAGCGGGGGTGGTGTCCCGGAGCGCGTGCCCGAGGGCGCCAGGGGTGTCCCGGAGCGCGTGCACGAGGACGCCAGGAATGCCCCGTAGCGCGTGCACGAGGGAGGCTGGGGTGTTCCGTAGCGCGTGCACGAGGGAGGCTGGGGTGTCCCGGAGCGCGTGCACGAGGGAGGCAGGGGTGTCCCGGAGCGCGTGCACCCGGAGCGGGTGTCCCGGGCAGGGCGTCCCCAGGGACGGAGGGGACTGAGGACGCAAAGAAGTTGGGGGCGTGCCCTGGGGGGGACGGGGGCTGCTTGGAGCGGGGGGGGGCGGCCTGGAGTGCTTGGAGGGGCGGGAGCGTCAGAGGAGCGAGGGGAGCGCAGAGAACGCGCGGGTCTGAGGGTGGGAGCGAGCCCAGGGCGGGCCAGAACCGGGGACCGTGCAGGAGCCCCGGGGACCGCGGAAGCGGCGGCGCCGGGACCCGGGAGGCCCCGGGGGCGTGGCCTCGGCGGGGCGTGGCCTGCGGAAGGGCCCGGAGGGGCGTGGCCTGCGCGGGGCGCGCCGGGGTGGGCGTGGCCTGCGCGGGGAGAGCCGGAAGGCGCGCGGTCCCGCAGGGGCGGGGCGGGGCCGGGGGCGGGGCCTCTGCGGGGCGGGGCCTGCGGAAGGGCCCGGAGGGGCGTGGCCTGCGCGGGGCGCGCCGGGGTGGGCGTGGCCTGCGCGGGGAGAGCCGGAAGGCGCGCGGTCCCGCAGGGGCGGGGCGGGGCCGGGGGCGGGGCCGGGGCGGGGCCTCGCGGCGCGGGGCGTGGCCGCGCTCACCTGCGGCCGCCGGGCGCGGGCGGGGAGGGGCCCTGCGGGGAGCGCCCGGCTCGAGTGTCCGGCCGGGGCCCCTGCGCGGTCCGCGCGCGGTCAGCGCGCCGTGACGCAGTCCGGTGAGTCGGGCACGGCCGCCGGGTTCGGCCGGGGACGCGGACGATCGCTCGGACCCGGGAGCGCGCTGCCCCGCCGCGCTGGGGGCCGCGGCCAGTGTCCGGCGCTTCTGCGCGTGGCTCCGGGGCCTCCGGGAGGCCTCCCGACCCCGCGGCCGCAGGTGACCCGCGCCCGGGAGCCCCGGAGGCGGCCTGCCCGCCCTGGGTGGGGGTCCGTGCGCGCCACTCCCCCCTGCCCGGGTGGCCCTGAGCCCCGCGGCAGCGGCCCGTGGGCGCCCGGTCCAGCCCTGCAGGGGCAGCGGCAGCGGCAGCGGCCGGGGCGGCCGGAACGGCGGAGGCCGCGGGTGAGCGGGACGCGCCCCACGTCCGTCCGTGCCCACTGGAGGAGGAGCGCGGAAAACCCGTGTTGCCTCGCTGCCCGGGCAGGGGGCGTGTGTGCGGAGTGGGTGGGCCCAGGTGGGCGCTGCCCCTCTGCTTCCGCGTGGCAGGCTCCCTCTGGACGGGATGGAAGGGGACCCACCCGCTGCCTCCCTCCCTGGGTGGTTGGGTGGGACGAGAGCGGACAGTGACCTTTGCTTCAGCTGATATAAAGTGGGAGTGGCTGGGGGTGGAGCGATAGCACAGCGGGCACGTCGCGGACCTGGGTTCGAGTCCCAGCATCCCATGTGGTCCCCTGAGCACCACCGGGGTGGTTCCTGAGCGCAGAGCCAGGAGGAACGAACCCCTGTGCATCACCGGGTGTGACCCAAAAAGCAAAATAAATTAAAAAAAAAGTGGGAGTGGTGACTCACCGCCTCCCACTGTTTGCACTTAGGGGTGTGTCCAAGGAGTGGGGCCACTTCTGAGTAACTCAGAAGCATCACTGAGTAACTCAGAGCATCACTCAGCCCCATCTTGGAGAGACTGTCTCGGGAAGCCCCTCGCCCCACCCCCATCTTGCATTTCAGGCCCCCAGGTCAGAGAGTAGGAGTAGAGGGTACCAGGAGGAGGAACGTTTTTCAGGTCTGCCCACCGTTTCTGGGACAGACGCTGTGAGCCAGGCATTCATTTCCTTCTGCAAGTGAGAGCAGCCTCTCATGCAAAGGCAAATTAGCCTGTGTTTCCTGTGAGCTGCTGCTTAGAGAAGAGACACACACACACACACACACACACACACACACACACACACACACACACACACACACAGAACACCAGAAAACAGAAGTGGGTCTCTGCAGTACTTGATAATTGGCCAACTGGACTGATGGGTCAGGAGCAGGGCTGAGGACGTGGGGCTGGTTGGGCCCCGAGGCGTCTGGGATTATCTGGGCCACCTGGTGTCGCGTGGGGGCCTGCAGGACCACATCCGGTCAGGAGCAAACCCAGGTGGGGTGCTAGTTCCCTAAGAGCTCCACTACCTCAAAGAAATCTGACAATGTTTACATTTATTTATTATTTTCACTTTTGGTTTGGGGGTAACACCCCGCTGTGCTCAGGCTCAGGCTGACTCCAGGCGGGGCTCGGGGACCCTGCGAGGTGCAAGGGGTCCAACCCAGGTGGGCTGCGTGCAGGGCGGGCACCTTCCCAGAGTCTCCGGGGACTTGGGCGTTCTCGTCTAAGAAGGCAGGCTACAGCCTCAAACCGCAATCTGTGTGGATGATGAGGGAATGACCAGCTGACGATGAATGGGAAGTGGGCCACGTTCCCGTTTGTGCTGGAGGGGAAGAAAACGGGGCAAGGACGGAGTTTTGCCTTGTTTGACAGAGTTAAATATGCGTAGTGCACATACCTACGTGTCTAGGTAATCTCATTAGCAAAGCCTTAGTACCCATTGTTAATGCTGATGTCGAACTATTCTAACTTCTGTTGCTTCACTCAGGCCGCCTTGGCCTGTGCCACCATGGGTGCGTCTGTATCTTTTCTCCGAGCCCCCAGACCTCATTCCCATCCACCACTGCCCACGGGACCCTCTGCCATCCCCCCTTCCCCTGCCCCTCCCGCTCGAGAACTTTCACTTTAGCGTCAGAACCCAAGTGCTTGTTTGGTTTCTTCCTTCCCCGGCATCAGGACAACCTGGTCTTGACAACGCCTTTCTTGGCCTGCCTGCGTTGCAACCGGCTGGATTTTCTCTTTTCCTTTATTGCTGAGTTGGGCACTGGGATTGGCTTCAGATCTTGGCTGTTGTGAGTCATGCCGTGATGAATGCAGGGCCTCTTTGTGTGTTTGTGTGTGTGTGTGTGTGTGTGGGGATTCTCCTGACTGCTTCGGACCTCTCTCCTGGTGGGGCTCAGGTGACCCTATGTGGGGCCGGGAGTTGAACCCACGGTGGCCACGTGCGAGGCAAGTGCTTGGCCACTCTCCTATTTCACCAGTCCCCGTGCAAGCACCATTTTTGCAAGAGCTTTTCTTTATTCGTTGGATGATTATTTAGTTTATTTATTGGTTATTGTTGGTGGGGGATGCAGCCTAGGGCCTCACACATGAGCTCTACCACTAAACCCCATTTTTTTTTTTTTTTTTGCTCTTGGGTCACACTGGGTGACACTCAGGGGTTATCCTGGCTCTGCACTCAGGAATTACTCCTGGCAGTGCTCAGGGGACCCCAGGGGATACCGGGGATTGAACCTGCATTGGCCGTGTGCAAGGCCGCTGTGCTATTGCTCCGCCCCTACGAAGCCCCATTTTTATGTTTTATATTTTTATATTTCAAGAGGGATGCTGTTTTCTCAAGCGGGGGGGCACCGCGGGTTTTGCGTGTCTGCAAGAAGCTCCTAGGAGCTCCTGTCGGGGTAGAGCAGGCCCGGGCCAGCGGACTTGGCTCTGTGAGCGCCCTGAAATCTCTCGTCCTTACCAGGGGTGGGGCTGGGGTCCTGGAACGGACCCGAGAAATCTCAGCATAAACCCTCACGTGGCGGGGCCTCTGGGAGCACAGCCTGACCCCTGACGCCTGGGGCCCAGATCTGGCTCTTCCTTGCCTGGGCCAGTGGCCACCTGGGTCTGGGCCCAGGGTGATGGGGTGGGGGGCTGGGAGCGAGGCCTCAGAGGAGGATTCTCAGGAAGGAAACTGAGGCAGGTGCGTCCTTACCGTTCCACCGTTCGTCTTTTGTCCCCGCTCAAGGCTTCCTCCGTGGTGGGATCCTGTATTTGAGGGTCTCCCAGAGAAGCCCAGAGAGAGGCACTCCCCCTTGGCATCCCCCTCATCTCGCCCCCCGAGTGTGACCCTCTGTCCCGCCCGCTGCAGGCTGGCCAACATGGGCTCCTTGGCGGAAGTGAACGGCGCCTTCGCGCTGGACCTGCTGAAGAAGCTGTGTGAGGACAGCCCCAGGAACGTGTTCTTCTCCCCAATGAGCATCTCATCCGCGCTGGCCATGGTCTTCATGGGGGCCAAGGGCAGCACCGCCGAGCAGATGCACCAGGTAGGGGCCTCAGCCTGTCCCGGGCCCTGCGTGAGCCGAGGGGGGTGCAGGGCCGGGCGGGGGGCTGGGAGGGTGCCCGGGACCCTTGAACAGCCCCACTTGGCCCGGCGCCTTTGCTGGCCATGGGCTTCCGGGTGGGGGCTGCTGTCCTGCCCTTGGGTCGCTCCTCCCAGTGTCCGGAACCCCTGTTTTCCCGCCCCTCCTTGAGATGAGCCCCAAGATTCCTCCCCCGCCGCCTCTGCCCTGGCCTGCAGCCCACGGCTCCTTTCCTCCCCTCTGCCTGCCTCTAGTGTGGGATTCGACAGTGGCCGCCCTCGGGGACAGTGTGGTCACTCCCCAAGCTCTGCAGCCAGAGGAGGGATGCTTGGGCCCTAGGGAGTCTGTCACACAGGAAGGGAGAGTCTGGGGGCCTTGCTGGGGACAGTCTGCCCCTCCTTTTCCTCCAGGAACATGTGTGGTACTCCCAGGCCTTCCCTGGGCCTTTGGGGGGGACCCTTGAGCCCCCTCATTCCAGGGCAAACCTGGAGTGCCGGGTTTGGGGTTCTGGCCCAGACCGATGTCACTCCTGTGTCCCACAGGTTAGAGCCTATCTCAGGTGCAGTGGCAGCGGGTGGACCCGGGAGAGCAGCTGCCCACTGCTGGCCAGTGTCCATCATGATGAGTGCAGTGTGTGTGTTTTGGGGGGATCCGGCAGCCTTCTCTGCACACAGATGGGGGAGCGTGTTCTGTCCCCAGGGCTGGCCGTGGGGCTAGTCCCTGGTCAGGGGCCTGGGGGTGCCCTGGGTGGAGCCAGCTGGCGGCCCTGCTGACGGCACCCTCACCCCCGTGTGTGCCAGGCCCTGTGTTTCAGCAGGAGCAAAGGCGACATCCACCAAGGCTTCCAGTCCGTCCTCAGCGACGTGAACAAGACCGGCACCCAGTATTTGCTGAGGACGGCCAACCGACTCTTCAGCGCCAGCGGCTTTGAGATCCTCTCGGTAAGCCACCCTGGGCACTATGGGCAGGGGACAGAGAGACCAGGGGGACGCAGGGCCGGGGCCGCCCACTCGAGGGGGCGCACTGACCCTCACCAGCCGCCGCCCGGGTCTGTGCACTGCACCCTGTGCCGATTCACTGAGGCCACCAGAACCGACCCATTTCAGGCTGCCACCGAAGTGAGCTCGGGGCTGTCATCGGGCCTTTCCGTTGTGAGACCCGTGTGAGAAATCTGTGGTCTGGGGCAGTGCTCGGGGCTTATTCCTGACAGGATCATCTCTTTGGCCCCGGTTTGATTTTATGTTTTTATTCATTTTTTGGGGGGTCTCCCAAGCGGTGTGCCTCCGAGGCCCCGAGGCCTTCTCGGCCAGCCAGACCCATGGTTCAGTCTTGGATGCTGTGGCCACCAGGGGCCCTCCAGGGGCATACTTGGTGGCACTCAGCGGCCGCAGGGCTGCCTCGAGGATCACAGTGGGGCTGGAGCTGAATATGGGCAAGGCTGGGACAGCAGCTCCACCCCCTCCCCGCCCCCCGAAGCAGAGTCACTTTTTATTTTATTGTTATTGATTTGGAGGCCGGTGTGTTCAGAGCTTATTTCTGGCTCTGAGCTCTGGGTTTGCTCCGGTCTGTGCTTGGGGAAACATAATACAAGGTGCCGGGGATAGAACCTGGGTCTGCGGCATACAAGGCGAGCGCCCTACCCACTGCACTACCTCTCTGGCCCCTGTTTTTGTTGGTGGTGGTGGTGCCGGTTGATAAACCCAGGGGCTCACCCACGCGGGGCCCATGCTCTTCCCTTGAGCCCTATCTGTTCGCCCCCCCCCCCCCCCCCCATTTCACTGCACGTATTTTGAGCACATAAGCCACATGAGTGATGGAATGGTGGCAGTTCTGCACTGCAGTGAAGAAGCAGTGAGGTGACGGGGCTGTCGCTCTGTCTCCCAGTCCTTCAAGGAGTCCTGCCTCAAATTCTACCACGCCGAGATGGAGCAGCTCGACTTCGCCGGCGCCTCGGAGGAGTCCCGACAGCACATTAACTCCTGGGTGGCCGAGAAGACCGAAGGTGACACACCTCCTTCTTCTAGCTCAGTGTGGCAGGCGGAGGTGCTGGGCCCGGGACTCTTTCTCCTACCCCTAGTTTTCTGCTTAACCCATCCCGCTGGCATCCATTCCTCCACCAGATCATCGCGTGTAAATGGGAATAATAATGTTTTTATTTTCTCCTCTGAATAAGCGTCAAGTAAAAAGATCCCCTCCCGATATAGGACCAGTGGGTGATATTGTTTTCTCTGACCTTTTCTTCCTCTTTCCCCCACACCCAGTGATGCTGGGAAAGAACCCAGACACACACACATGCACACGCACACACACTCTATGTGTCTCCACTCCAGCCCTTTGGCTCATCTCTCTGGACCTCCCTGACCTCTCCCATTTCTCATCACTGCTGGGCACAGCTTTTCCAGAACAATGTATACTTTCAGTGTTCTCTGGGGCTGTGGGTTTCGTGACTGTGACCTTCTTTTCACAAAGAGCATTAAAAACAAGTGCATTGGGGGCCGGAGTGATAGCACAGTGGGGAGGGCATTTGTCTTGCATGCGGCTGCGCTGATTTTGGTTCCCGGCATCCCATATGGCCCCCCGAGCACCACCAGGAGTAATTCCTGAGTGCAGAGCCAGGAGTAACCCCTGTGCATCTCCGGGTGTCACCCAAAAAGCAAAAAAACGAAAACAAAACCCCCCCCCAAAAACAGCGTGCATCGCAGGTTTCCTATCCATGTCCCTCTCCCGTCCCAGTCCCCATGCCTCACTGCAGAAAATTTGGGGGAGTCTCAGCCACCGCGGCTCTTGGTTTAAAAGGAGTGTCTTATCCAGTCCTCTCTCATGCAGTGAATTTGCCCTGAACATATTCATGTATGGGTTTTAGTCATATGATCCTTCCTTCCTTCCTTCCTTCCATCCTTCCATCCATGCTTCCTTTTTTTCTGTTTTTGGGCCATACCCAGCTATGCTCAGGATTTACTCTTGGCTCTGTGCTCAAGGATCACTCCTGGTGAGGCTTGGAGTTCCAGGGATCAAACTCAAGTCCAGTGTCCTGCCCTCTGTCCTACCTCTCCAGCCCCACGTGATGGTATTTTTCTTAGCAGAGCTTCTCTGACTTTTGGGTGGCCGTTTTAAGGACACATGGTTCTTTTTGGAGTAGTCTCTGGTTCCCTTCATATGGTTCTATTTGGGGTACAGTCTCTGGGTCCTTGACTGTGCCCAGAGTTGGTCCCCCAGGCTCAGCCACCAGGAGACTCTTTGAGCTAACTGGACCTTTACTTTCTCTTTCCAGATAAAATTAAGAATCTTCTGGCTCCAGGCGCCGTGGATTCACTCACGGCACTGATTCTGGTCAATGCCATTTACTTCAAAGGAAACTGGGAGAAGCAGTTTCAGAAGGAGAACACCCAGGAAAAGCCCTTCAAAGTCAGCAAGGTGAGTCTCTGGACACCCTACATCTCCTGACCCGGGGCAGGTGCTGTAAGTGGCCTTGGTCGGCCTGGTGAAGCCCGACCCCCAGCTGTTCCGCTTGTGTGCCGTGACCTCCAAGTTGGCCCCAGTATCTGACGGGGCCTCGTGCCTCTACTTCTGATCCAGCTCCCTGCCACCCATGGCCCAGCTGAAGGCAGAGCTCACAGTCCTTGTGTTCCCAGAATTCCAGGAGGCCCCAGCAGGCCGAGGACCTTGGCAGCGGGAATCGTGGGAGTGGGGGAGCCCTGGGGAGGGTGCGTGCCCTCTGGAGAGGGTGGGGCTGACATCCTTCAGCCACTGAGATGAAGTGAGGAGTTTCCATGCAGTCCCTGAGAGACACGGCCGTAAGGAGAGAACTGGGGACATTCCTGCCCTCGGAGGACAAGGCTAGCAATGGCCCGAGGGGCCCCCAGCGGGCACTGGGGTGGGGGTCAGAACGCGTGAGGGGCCTGGGGCAGCCTGCTCGGTGTGCTGGCGGTCACTCGGGTCCCAGGAAGCAGCTCAAAGGTTTGTCCGTGTCCTTTGCAGACCGAGACCAAGCCCGTGCAGATGATGTATCAGAAATCCACCTTTCCGATGACCTACATCGGAGATATCTTCACCCAAATTCTGGTGCTTCCCTATGCCGGCAACGAGCTGAACATGATCATCATGCTTCCCGACGAGAACACCGACTTGAAGACGGTAAGGGGCTCCCCGAGGCCCGGGGCTGAACTGGCCGGAGGGTGGCTGCAGGCCTGCCCCGCCCCGCGCCTACATAGCCCCGCCCCTCCTGCCATCGCCCCGCCCCTCCTGCCAGGACCCCAAGCCTCTTGCCATCACTCTGCCCCGCCCACAATAACCCCGCCTTTTCTGACTATTGCCTCATCCCTCCAGGCCACGGCCCCGCCCCTCCCGCCATAGCCCCGCCCTTCCCTGCCACAGCCCCGCCCCTCCGGCCATTGCCCCGCCCCTCCCTGCCATCGCCCCACCCCTCCTACCACTGCCCCGCCCCCCCTGCCATGACCCCAAGCCTCTTGCCATCACTCTGCCCCTCCCACAATAACCCCGCCTTTTCTGACTATTGCCTCATCCCTCCAGACCATAGCCCCGCCCCTCCTGCCATAGCCCCCCTCCGGGCCATAGCCCCGCCCCTCCTGCCATAGCCCCGCCCCTCCTGCTATTGCCCCGCCCCTGCCCGACATTGCCCTGCCCTGCTGTGCCATAGCCCCGCCCCTAGCTGCCATTGCCCCACCCCTACCTGACATTGCCCCGCCCCTTCTGCCATCGCCCCGCCCCTCCTGCCATCGCCCCGCCTCTCCTGTCGTAGCCCCGCCCTTCCCAGAAGGGCCCTCCCGCTGTGGCCCCGCCCACAGCCTTAGCCCCGCCCACACCACCCCCTCGGAGGCCGCCCGAGCTCCCAGGCCCGCTGCCCAGGGGCGCCCTCGGATGCCCGCAGCCCGCTCACGGCCCCGGCTGCCCTCGCAGGTGGAGGAGGCGCTCACGTACGAGAAGTTCGCCGAGTGGACGCGGCCCGACATGCTGGACGCCGAGGAGGTGGAGGTGCTGCTGCCCCGCTTCAAGCTGGAGGAGAGCTACGACCTGAAGGGCGTCCTGGGCGCGCTGGGCGTGCGGGACGCCTTCGAGCCGTCCGCGGCGGACTTCTCGGGCATGTCGTCCCGGCAGGGCCTGTGCCTGTCCCAGGCGGTGCACAAGGCCTTCGTGGAGGTCAACGAGGAGGGCACCGAGGCGGCGGCGGCCACGGCCGTCATGATGGTGCTGCGCTGCGCCCGGATCGTGCCCCGCTTCTGCGCCGACCGCCCCTTCCTCTTCTTCATCCAGCACCGCCAGACCCAGGCCCTTCTCTTCTGCGGCCGCTTCGCCGGCCCCTGAGCCCCGCCCCCGGCCCTGCGCCCAGAGCCCGCGCCCCTTTCCCGTGCCCGGGAGTAAAGTCCGGCTTTGGAACCCGCCCAGGCCCTCCGCGTGCTTGTGCGTCCGTCCGCAGGCCACGTGCGTTCTCGGACCTGGAGTTCCTCGGGGTCCCCCGCCCGTCCTAGGCGCCCCCCATCCCCACCCCCGGGGCCTGGCCCCCCGGGGCTGAGTGCGGCAGCAGGGGGCGAGGGCGGTGGGCTTAGCCCCGGCCCCAGGGCGCTGGGGTGGGGGTGGGGGAGCAGAGGGAACCGCTGGGGTCTGAAACCCCGCCCCAAACTCGCTAGGGGCTCCCCAGGAGCCAGCGGAGGGGGGAGGGCGCAGCTGACTCCCAGCAGTGGGTCAGCCCGGCTCCCACCCACAGGGGACCCTGGGACTTCACGTACTCCCGCTAAAAGGCACCACCTTCTGCTGGCCAGAAAAGTGAGACGTGCCAACAGGACCCGGGCACGACTGGGCTCGATTCCGGCTGGAACACGGCGGAAATCAACTCCAGCTGACTTCCAAGTTTTGTTTTGCTTTGTTTTTTTTTTTTTCCTTTTTTTCTTGCACCACGCCCAGGGTTTCTGGCTCTGTGCTCAGGAGTGACCCCTGGCGGTGGCACTGGGCACGGGGCCTGCACCAGGCAGGGGACGCGCCTCCCTCCCCTGCGCCCCATCTCCAGTGTCAGCCCAGAGCCTGGGCAAGAAAGAGGCAGCTCAGGTCTCAGCAGCTGCAGGCTGGAAACCCGATCAGACCAGACTGCAGGGCCTGGCTCGGCCGCCCGCTGGGTGTGGCTGCAAGGGAGACGCAGCCAGCCTCTGGGGGACGGGCTAGGATTTCTTCCAGGGACCCTTTGGAGGCTCCTAATGACAGCCCCCTCTCCCTGGCCACGCAGGAACTCGTCCCTTGCCCCCTCCGCTTTCCCCGGGGGCGCCTGCTTCTCAGACAGGTGCCTCAAGTGGTGTTTGTCCTCCTTTCCTGGAAGAGGCCTTATCCCCCAGGGGTGTATGAAACCGATCTGCCCGGGCCTCTCTGTGACAGTTCCAAAGCCCTGTGTCTGTCAATGCACACCGGGAAGGAGGTTGCAGGTAGTAAAAGGGAGATTCATCCTCCCCAAATAGTGTGTTCTTGGGGCTGGAGCAGTAGCACCGCATGGAGGGCGTTTGCTTTGCATGTGGCCGACCCAGGTTCGATTCCCAGCATCCCATAGGGTCCCCTGGGCACCGCCAGGGGTAATTCCTGAGTGCATGAGCCAGGAGCAACCCTTGTGCATTTCCAGGTGTGACCCAAAAGGAAAAAAACAATGTGTTCTCATTTTTTTTTTGGAGGATCCTCCAAATTCCAGTAGGCAGGGGTCACACCCACCACCTGGCCCCCTGGCGCTGTGTAATCCCATCAATGGCCAAGACTCAGAGACTATAAAACCCAGCTCCCGGAAGCATTTGCAGCCGCGCGCGACATCTTATTATCTCATTCCTACTTTGGACAACCTGGCAGGCTACCAAATGTAGCCTGCCCACACGGCAGAGTCTGGCAAACTCCCCGTGGCGTACCCAATATGCCAGATACCAGTAACAATGATGGGTCTCATTCTCCTAACCCTGAAAGAGCCTTGAATAGGGCACTTTTTAAAAAATCTTAAGGCTAGGACGAAGAAGACGTTACTGGGGCCTGCTCGAGGCAATCGACGAACAACAGGATGCTCGTGATTGTGATCATGATCATTTTTTGGGGGGGATGGGAAGGCACATAGCTGGCTGTGTGCTCAGGGATCACTCCTGGCAGTGCTCAGGAGGCCATATGCGGTGCCAGTGTTTAAGCCTGGGCCTGCTGTGTGTGCAAGGCAAACACCTTAACCCCTGGAAGTATGTCTCCGGTCCAGTGCACGTCGTCTTTTATGCCGTCGCCGCAGAAGACGCTTACCTCTGTCAGTTGGACCACATTTGTGGTGCCGATCTAGGAAATAGAATCCTCCCCGGATTTCTTTCTAGGGAAAAAAAAAAAAAGTCGGTTTCGCCCAAGGCATAGGTCAGGGTTTCTCCAAGTCTGCTTTGCATAGGGCTGCTTTGCATAAGAGATCGAAAGTGATGCTTAGTCCTGTGCACTCTGGGGCGTTAGCGGTGCTGGCGCTTGGTAGCTGGCACCATCACTGCGGCTCGCAGTGCCTGCTCCGAGCTCAGAATGGCCCACTCCACGCTCCGGCCCAGACTCCCTGCCCTCAAGGCCCAGCTTTGCAAGTCCAGGAGATGGATGGGGAAGACCGTGGCCGCAGAGCAGGCCAGCATGTCCTTCCCCCAGGACTGGCTCCTTCTGCCTCTTCTTCTCCCTCCCTCTGAAGCATGGGGCTGCGACTTCCCCAGAGCGTGAGTAGAAGAACTTTTGATAGAGTTCACAGGTCTCAGGCCGGGGTGGTTTGGCTGAATGCGTCGGAGAGCGACAGAGTTGTATGGCCTCCCTACACCACAGCGCTCTCTCGATCTTTCCTCTTTCTATTTTGAGTTTTTGGCGATGCTCAGGGGTTCCTCCTGGCTCTGCACTCAGGAATCACTCCTGGTGGTGCTCCAAGGACCCTAGGGGATGCCGGGGATCAAACCCAGGTCGGCAGTGTGCAAAGCAAAAGGCCTCCCTGCTGGACTATCGCTCTGACCCCCCACCCCCCCCACAGAATCTTGGCACCACAAGGATTGTAGGGAAAAACTGGATTTATCTCCAGAAATGCAAGGTTGATGCCGCAAGAAAAAAAGAAAAAGTCCTTTGTTCACTTACAGTACAAAGAAGCACAATTGTGCATTCATATGTCATGTAAGTAGATGCAGGAAGGGGTATCGAACCCTAAAGAAGACAGAGGCTAAAAAAGACAAGTATGGTCTCTGAGCGCAGAGCCGGGAGAGAGAAGAAACACAAATAATAGGTCCGTTTATGAATTCTTTTTTCCTAATCAGAAGCTCAGTTGCAGTCTTTTATCATTAACATTGCTGTAGGCAGAACTTTGGGTATATTTCCTTCCTTTTTTAAAATTTGATTTTCCTCTTACACTTTATATAAACGGTGGTTTACAAAGTTGTTCATGGTGATTTGGTACAGGCATTCAGTATACTTTGGACATATTTTCAACTCATTCTTACAAATGTCCCCACTCTCACTTTCATATATTTACTTACTTGGGGTGGGCTGGAGTGATAGCACAGTGGGTAGGGCGTTTTTCTTGCACGCGGCCAATCCGGGTTCGATTCCTCCACCCCTCTCGGAGAGCCTGGCAAGCTACCGAGAGTATCCTGCCCACACGGCAAAGCCTGGCAAGCTATGCGTGACGTATTCAATATGCCGAAAACAGTAACAAGTCTCGCAATTTGTGGTGAGACATTACTGGTGCCCGCTCGAGCAAATCGATGAGCAATGGGAGGACAGTGCTCCAGGGCAGTGCTACTTACCTGGGGTGACACCCATTGGTGCTTAACAACTGTTCCTGGCTCTGCACTCAGGTGTGACCCCAGTGGTACTCCGGGGGCCAAACTGGGGTCAGCCGCGAGCACAGTAGCACTGCTGTAATCCCTGTACCGTCTCCTGAATATCAGCAACATTTTTTATTTGAATATTTATAAGTCAAGGGGGAGAGAGAACAGGGAGATTCAGAGTGAGCGTGTTACTCTCTTTCTTTCTCACCATCTCCCCATCCACAGCTTCAAAAATCCCCCAATAAAATCTGTTCTACTTCAAATATATATATATATATATATATATATATATATATGTTAAGGGGTAAATATGTCATCAGTTCTTTTTTTTGGGTCACACCTGGCGATGCACAGGAGTTACTCCTGGTTCATGCACTCAGGAATTACTCCTGGCGGTGCTCGGGGGACCATATGGGATGCTGGGAACCGAACCCGGGTCGGCTGTGTGCAAGGCAAACGCCCTCCCCGTTGTGCTATTGCTCCAGCCCCCTATGTCATCAGCTTTATTGACATTTCCAACTATAAAAGGAAACACAGGGAAAGGAAGCGTGCCCAAAAGAAAGGGTTGAATTGGAGTAACTTGAATTTTTTCCCGGGGTGGGGGGGGAACAGGGGCCACCCAGGGGTGCTCGGGGCTGCTCCCCCTGCAGTGCTCTGGCGTCCCTCCGGGAGGTGCTAGCGTCATAGCCACACTGTGACCCCTCAGGACTTTGCTGCTGGGCCTGTCAGCCAGGAGGCGGCAGTAACTGCATCTAGTCAGACCGGTTTCCTCTGGCCAGAAGAGATCCCAGTAGAGCTTTCTCGAAACTGAAAACTCCCTACTGCTTTCGGTTCTGTTCTGGGGCCATCCCGGGAGGTCTCATACCGGCTCTGAGCTCAGGGTCCACTCCTGGCAGGACTCGGGGTCCCTATGTGGTGCTGGGGAGGGGGGGAGGTCAGCTGGACCATCTCTCGGGCCCTCAGTACTGGGTTGTGCATCTCTGTAAGGAAAACAGAGCTGATCTCTCCACTTCCAAATAGGGGCCGAGGCGCGGCTGCTTCTAGACCTTTCCCCCTTTCCCCACCCCTAAGTGATCTATTGCTTAAAAAGGAGAAGAAAAAAAAAAAAAAGACTTCAACCTCACTCTGGGGCCCGTCACCCTGCACAGCCCTTCCCACCCCGCCAGGGGGCGCCAGGGAGGCACCTGCCACTGCAGGTGGGGGGGGGGGCACTGCGGGGAAGGGAAGGGGGGCCGCTTCCTGCTGTTTTTCTAGTCTGTCTGTTTGTGATATGGGGGCCACACCCAGCAGGGTTCCGGGCAGCACAGGGAAGCTCCGGGCTTTCATCACGGGACACTGGGCCTGTGCTTGAAGCCGGGGGGGCCACCGGGGAAGGGGTCCCACAGAGAAGGGGGGGCACGAGGACTGGGGGCCGCAGGGGGAGGGGTGTCCACAGAGGACGGGGGCCACAAGGACAGGCGGCCACAGGGGTAGGGGTGTCCACGGAGGATGGGGACCCTCGGGAGAATGGGGAGGATGATGATCCTCCCTGAAAGCGGGGTGTGGTCCTTTCAAGCA